AAAGCGACTGCACCCATAACGAGGTATTAGGGTTCGAATTTTTGACCAAAATCATAACGCGGACCACATGCATGTATAATGTATCTGTATCCATGACTTATGCTTGAGGGAGTACATGGTTTACAACCCTAGCGGTATATAATTGTATTTATCCAAACTGGCACATTATACATAAATAAAAAAGAAAAGAAAAGAAAAGAAAGAGAGATACTCTTTGTTTCTTCACTTGTGTATTTTAAATTTATTAAAAATATAAGATAAATAAGTAAAAATAAAATTCTTTAATAAAAAATATATTATTTTTTATTATAATATACATACTTGCTTTTCACTTCACTTATATATAAACGAAAAAATATAAAATAATATAAGATAAATATTATTTTACAATATTTTTAAGCATAAATAAATATTGATTTTTAAGTTTATAATTTTAATATATATATATATATATAATTATTATTAAATAAAATATATTAAATATGAAAGTGATTATAAAAATCAAATTGAATAATTTAATATATATATATATATATTATTTTTTTAAACTATGATATTATTTTATTAATTTAAATTTAAATATTTTTAAAAAATTAATAATTATATGTCAAAATATATTATTAAAAAATGAGATATTAATCAAAAATATTACTTTAAAAAATTAGTTCATTAATAAAAAATTAATTAATAATTATATAGATGATTTTGTAAATAAACAAATAGTTAGTATTAATTAAATACTCACTTTTCTCTCAAACATATAAGAATATTTTTTATTTTTTTTATTTCTTCACACTCTCCTTTTCTTGATACCAAATAGACCCTATACAAGTTCTTAAAAATAAAATATATCCTTTTGATGTGTTTTCATTGTTAGAATTACTTAAAAACAACTCAGAATAATTTATGTTTTAAGCTCTAACCATCATACTCATATTAAAATAATATTTTATTTCTAAACAACTTTATATTTTCTTTATAAATGAAAAAAAAAACTCTTATAATACGTAAAAAAAATAATATAGTAGATTTGTTATTCATGCAATTAATACAGTAACATTTTTCTTTTTATCTTTTCCTCTTTCCACTTAACATCATTAATTTTGAAACAAAATACACTCACGAAACAAAACATCACATTATTCATTACATTTCATAATTATTTTCTACACTGCCAACTTCCCAAAAAAAAAAACAGTAATCACATTTTAAATTATTGACTTAATTCTAATACATGCTTATGGCTTATTTTGGCCGTAAGAATTAATTACACTAATAAATTTAATGGTTGATAATCCAAATAATCATTGGACAATAAAAAATAACACTATACATAGACAGGGGTGTAAAAGTGAGCCAACCCGGCTCACACGGGTTGGCTCACCACGGGTTGAGCTAAAAATAGATGAGTTCAACCCGGCTCACTTTTTGGTGAGCCAGAAATTTTACAATTCGGCTTAACCCACCACGGGTTGGTGGGTTGACTCACTAACCCATATTTTTTTTAAATAATATATATATATTTCCAAACTTCGGATGTAGAAACTTTTGCTTTTTTCCTTTTTTTCTCAACATCAGTATCTTCATTATTAACTGAAATTGGCTCATTGGGTTTTTCATTAACAATAAAATCATCACCAACACAATTCACATTGAGACTTTGATGCATTGTTTCAGATTCCATACTGTAAATTAATTTGAAAGAAAGAAGTCAAAAATTCATATATTAAAGAGATATACGTATAAATCAATAATAAACAACAAATAATGTATAGATGCTACAGTGGGTACGGTGATGTAGTGATACGATGAAGATGAAGATATGATAAGATAGTGCGACGACAAACGTAGTGTTGCTCGATAGGGTTTGACTTGTTGTGGCGGCAGTGACAATATAGGATAAAGATGAGGCATGATAACATTTAGGGTTACTTGAAGTATTATAATTGTTTTTAAAATTTAAAATATAATTATTAATTAAGGTTAATATATATTATAATTATTTTTAAAATTTAAAATTAATGGTGGGTTGCGGGCCAACCCACCATAACCGGCTCGAACCCGTTTAACCCGTGAGTTAAGTGAGCCGGATTCATTTTTAGCCCATAATCGGTAGAAATAAAAAAATACAACCCAACCGGCTCGAACCAGTGGTGAGCCGGGTTAGCTCACGAGTTAGAACCCATATTGACACCCCTGTACATAGATGATGATGATGGTTTAATAACTCAAATAATTAGTTTGAGTTGTATGGTTTAATTATTAATAAATTTATTATATACTTATTATATCATAAAAATTTAATTCAATTAAATTCGATGACGTGACTGAAGTTTTAAATCTTGAATTTATATATTTATCAGTTCAGAATCAGTCAGAATTTTAAAAACATTCCTTTCTTCAATTATTTACTTTATCTGTACAAAAGAATGGCCCGCGTTTGACGCTTTAAATCCATGCATAAAATAACCAGCTATACAGTGAAACTTTCATATAAATGTATATCATGCACTTATAGGTATAGCTAATGAAAATTTAAAAAATTAAGAAAGTAAAAAAGGTGTGTTAACATTGTACGTGCCATACCCAAATATATCCTTCATTGGTACCTTCTTAACAAAACAAGAAAGGAAAAATCAATATAAGGAAGAAGACAAGTATCTAATTCAAAGGCCAAAAAATTACAAATTTTTTCCAATAAAAAAAAATGGGAAAATTTTTTCCCGCTTTAAATATTTTTGAGAAAATCTCCAGCTTTTAAATTTGTGTGGTTTTACTTGGCCTTTTCTAAACTTTCATTTGGTTTCTTTAAGAAAAAGAAAGAAAGAACAAAAGAAGATCGAGAAAGCAACTCGGGTTAGGAAGGAAAAAAAACACTTAGCTTGAGAACGAAGTATGTTCACAGTTTTGGGTTTTTATCTCAAAAGGTGATACTTATTGTTAATTTACAAGATACCTATTGATGCACAAAGGCATATATATCATATGCACAGCATGTGCATATATATACATGGCAAAAAGCCAAGAGGGGGGTACACTACAACAGCATTATTGTCTTTGTAATCATACGCACATAAATCTTTAGCTTCCGCACATGCCATGCTTGATGCTGCGAGTTAACAACAGCATTTCTAATTTAGTCCAAAGAGGCTTTCACTGGTTAATCGCTCATAATTATATATGTCACACCTTTTCATGAGACCTTAACACCAATTAGAAGCCACTACTTATACACAAAATTTAGAGATTGAGATGGAGACTATGTAATTAAGAACAGTATTAAGATCTCAATTCCATATGATTCTACACATCAATACATTGGAGTTAGTGTTTTTGTTTGGTTGCTGTTGTTCCAACCAACGGGCATTCACTGCATGATTTTACATTATTCTCTACTACAGCAGAAGGTAACAACAAGTAACAAGTACCTAGAAGGAAGAGTAGCAGCACGAATAGCCATGATAACATGCTTATGATTGAAACAATAATAATCCAAATCTTTGTATTAAAGCAGGTAGAAAAGGACCATCCAATGGGAAAAGAAAGAGATCCATAGAAACAGAGAGAGAGAGAGAGAGAGAGGGAGAGAATGAATTAATTAGCTAGGAATTGGGGTGAAGGCAAGTAACGTGGGAACATACACACTTTATTCACCTGACACTGCATGTACTTTGGTTCCTGTGGAAGGGGGTGTGTTCCTCACGCCAACTATATCCTACGTGTTATTCATCTTCTACTTAGTGGATAAAGATAGCATCTCGCTTCTCTTTCGGGTGTCACCCTTATGATGAAAGCTTTTCAGTTTATTCCCTAGCACCCCACACCAACCCGCCTACTTGTGGAATATCAGTTCAAACTTTGAACTTACCACTCCTATACCACTTTCAAACAGAAACAGATACATACATACATAGATAGATGATTTATCTATGGACAAAATTTCAATATCAAAGCATTTTGAAACAATTGTTAAGAGAATATAAATGAGTGAAACTGTGCAAAAATATCAGACAGAAAATGTCATCATTCCTTTTTATATTTTCATTCACTTCATTTCTCTCACCACACACACACAAGATCTTTTAAATTCATTTTTATTTCCCTTCTGTTTATTCTCAGCGAGAAAAAAATAAAATTTAATGGTTGTTCTCCACCTCGCTCCCCAAACAATATTTTAGAATTTAAAGGTTTTAAGTCTAGAATACAATACCAATTTAATTCTGAAAAGCATAAGTGGCGGTCAAATTAGGCTTGATATTACAAAAGATGTAACCGAGCAGTCCCTTTCTAAACACATTCAGTTGAATTTTAAAATTCAAATAGTCAGTTAATTTGTTTTCAAATTGATAAAATGTCCTTCAACATTATTTGTCTAAATTTATGGAACAATCTAATTATATATACACTCAACCAAAAAATCACTAATTAATACTATAAGATAATAGGTACTTTAATTCATCATCGTTAACAATTAATATTTCATAGAATTAGTTATTATAGAATTAGTTATATGATATGATCTTAAAAATATTATCTCATCAATCTAATGAAATTGGTAAAATGGGTGAGAATTACCTGTGTATCGTATCACTAAGTGAAATTTCTCAACAATAATTTTTTTTAAAACAACTTTAATTTTAATATCAAAAATCTATGATTCCATTTTCTATTTTAGAATACATGAAAAAAGTGTTAAGATTAGTTAATTTTCCGATGAAATATATCACAAATAATATAAATTAGTTCAATGCCTGACTTGGTTAACTCAATAGCTAATTTAACCCTATACGACACTCAAAATAAATTAACTAACGAGCATTAACATTACAAACCATGACTTAAAGTTTTCAAAATCAATAATTAAACAAACTTTTTAACGTACTGAATGAAAGTAATCTATCAAACACGAAAAATTGATATAAATCATTCTCATAAGCAAATCAATGTTTTGACGTGAGTTTTAAAGCGGAGAGGGTGAGTTGTGAAGGAAGGGAGAGAGAATGGTGCACATGAGAAGCATGGAGGGAGATAGAAGATACACTTACACTGCAATGGCGCGTGTGGGAAATGAGAATATATCCCTTGCTTGTAGGAGGAGGTGGAGTGGGTCCGAAATGGTGTTTGTGTTGTGTGTGTGTGGGGCTTGCAACGTAGAGTGCTCTTTCGGTATGCGTTCTTTATCGGGGACCCAAATATTCTCAAGCTTCTGTCACGTCAGACACGACTAGCGTGACGTACCCATTCTGCACATAGTGTCCCAAATCTCCATCAACGGTTCTCCTTCCGCCACGTCACCACCTCATCCACATCCCACCGTCCCTTCTGTCAGTGAAGATTTAGTCAAGTTGAGATAAGCTATTGGCATTAGAGAGACAAGTTAAGGCCCACCATTGTTGTCACCGACGGGTTTTACACACTGTAGCTCTGCGACAACATGCCACCTCTCACTCACTACCCTTAACTTTTTCTTCCTTCTTATTCACTGTCCCGTCCCATGTAGCAACCACACTTTCCTACAATACAATTCCCTCTCCTCAATTCCCTCATTATTCCTCTTCCCACCACTTCCTACCTTGTCTACTCCATGATCTTCTGCAATGGCTTTCACAAACTCCAAGTAGCAGTGGCGCAGTTAGGTTAACAAGTTCGTGTACACATTCCTCAGAACCAAGCAAAGGTCGTGGTTCACTGTTCTTGTCCCAAATCACCAGTGAATGGGTTTATCTTCTTTGCACGTCTGCATGGATTCATCAGATCATTGGTTGCAGGTATGGTACATGACCATACTTTTGCTTCTGGTTTTCTTAATCACAAGAAAGAAGTGCATTGATTGATTCTTCTTCTTGCTTCTTAATTATCAATCTCATTAATCGAATCACTGGTGAAAATAGTAGTTTTGGGGAGTTTTCGTTCAAGGGGTTTAGTTAGTTAAAGTCGGTTTGCAATGTGTCTTGAACCCTGCAACCTTTTTGTTTTGCAACATGAGTTGGTTGGACCGAATTGAAGTGCGTTTGGTTCATAGGGAATTAAAGGGGGCATAAAAGAAGAGAACGCCAAGGAAAAGGAAAAACTAGGAAGAAAACAAAAAGAATGAAAAGAAAGAGACATTTAAAATCCAACAAGACAAATTTTTACAGTACGTAACACTAACACCGCATTATTTCTTTTGGTTATATTAAATTGTTTGCTTTATGGAAAATGTCAGGGCACAATTCACGAGGAGTCTGGAATGGATTCTTCTTCTTCACCCTCTGGGGACATGCTTACATGCTCAAGGCCCATGATAGAGAGGAGGCTAAGACCCCCACATGACCAAGCTCTAAAGTGCCCCAGGTGTGACTCAACCCACACCAAGTTCTGCTACTACAACAACTACAGTCTCTCTCAGCCAAGGTACTTTTGCAAGACCTGCAGAAGGTACTGGACTAAAGGAGGCACTCTAAGGAACATTCCTGTTGGTGGAGGCTGCAGAAAGAACAAAAAAGTCTCTGCCAAAAAATCCAACGACCATCAATTAGTTAACAATCAAATTAGCCAAACACAGCCCCCACCTTCCTCCTACCATCACAACTCCAAAGACCTTCAACTCTCTTTCCCAGATGTACAATTTTCCCACCTCAGCAACTTGCTTGGGACCAATGCAGGGGCACTGGGAAACCCTAGCTTCATGGAGGGCAAGTATGGTATTGGCATGATTGAGAACCCAAGGCCAATTGACTTCATGATGGAGAGCAAGCTGGAAGGCATAATTGGCAATGGTAGTTCTAGGAATTTTGATTTTTTTGGAAATAGTGATATGGGTATGGGTGTTGGGCTAGGTGATATGAATGGTACTACTCAAAGTGGGTTGCCACCAAATTTTCATGGTCTTTGCTCCCCAGCCTTTGGTGGCATGTCTATGTCCCTTGATGGCAACAATACTAGCAATGGTACAAGTAACTACTTAATGGACTCTTGCCAGCGCTTGATGCTGCCATATGATGCCAATGAGGACCATAATGCCTCAATTGATGTGAAGCCAAACCCTAAACAACTATTGTCCCTCGAATGGCAAGACCAGGGTTGCTCTGATGCAGGAAAAGACTCATTTGGGTATCTCAACGGTCCAGGATCATGGACTGGCATGATGAACGGCTATGGATCTTCCACCACAAACCCTTTGGTCTAAAAGGCAAATCTCAAGTCACAACTCATAGGTGATGATTCATGGACATGATCAACGGCTAAGTTCTCTCTTGGCTTGGTTCTTTTGAACAATGACCATCACTCCCCTACTTATATTTTATTTTATATGATAATATTATTATATTGTATACATAAAGCCTTTTGATGATGGGAGGGTTCCTCGTATTTTCTTGTGTAGTGTTTCTTTCTAGCTATATCTATCTCAGGGTGGTCTTATTTAGATTTCTGTTGACTTATATGACCACGAGAGTGTGAATGAGATGCTTCAGAGTCCAATTGGACTGCCCTTGGTGCGTTACCTTTTGGTTTATATATATATTTGTCTTTGTGTGCGACACGTCATGAAAGCTTTAGGATTTGTGCTGTAACATCGAGGAAGATATGGTAGTTATTTTTCCAGTTAAAGAAAATGCAGTAGGTACTATTATCTTTATGAAAAGCCTCTGTCTCTATGCTCGTGGGGACTGTTAATTCTTCATTTCCTTGATTCATTACCACTGTTCCCACTTCCCTTCTCGTTTTCCTCATTCATATTTTTGAGCATTTTTGTTCAAGGAATTACCCAACTGTTCTTCTCGTGGAGTGGAAGCTTAATTGTCAATATTTGTTACTGAATATTCCGTAACCTTGCATGAGATTGGACGTGCACGTGTTTTGATCTAACAACATGGAACTCTTAAGGCAGGAGGAGAAAAAGAGAATAACGTGCATTTGACACGTAATACCTCGGAATGAAAGTTAATTAATACAAAAAAGAAGTGTAAAAGTTAAATGAAATTCGTTAGGATTCATATGGTTATCTCAATTTGTTTGGTATATTTCAATTCAATATTTTCATACCTCAATTTATACACTTATTATTTGATACTTTTCATTTATTCTTCTGTCAGTTTTTTATTATAAATTTCTTTATATCTATCTCTTTCTACATAAAGCAAAAGATGTATCAGCCAATTGTATTTTGATTTTTTTTTTCCAAATAGTTGAAACTGAATGAATAATTTTTTCATTTTGTTTACTTACCTTTTACAAAATTATGTATGGACACTTGTCATCTGTCACGCCTACTAAGAAAACAAAGAAAGAGACAGTATAACTATAGCATATGATATTATATTAAAAAATGGGTAATAGAAATGATGAGCGTTAATCATGTGTTTATTTGTACAAAAAAAAAGAGGTTATATATTTTACTCTTCCTTGGTTGAAACTAAAAAAAGATCTAAAATCATTAGCTCAAGTTCACTTTTATGTGTTTATGGATCCATTAATATATATACTTACTTAGGTATTATGTAATGAGTTGCATATAGTATTCAGAGGAAGGATATGAAAACTTAAAAAGTGAGGACAAAAGGGGCATTCCGAGAATCGAACTCGGGACCTCTCGCACCCAAAGCGAGAATCATACCACTAGACCAAATGCCCAGATGATTAAATTGCTAATAAAAATATATTTAAATTATAACTAAATATTTACAAAATTAAAGCTTATAAAATGCACTAAATAATTTGCTGACATCGTTCTGATGTTTATTTTATTTTTGTATTTTTTTGGATATATAATAAACTTAAATATTTGCGAACAAACTTTTTTGAATTGTTATCTTATATAAAGTATGATTAATTAATCGTTGAAATTTTTTATTGTATATTGTATGTTGAAAATTGAAAGATTATCAAAGAAATTCAAATTTTATAATTATGTTTGAAATGGTTGAGTAGAAAAATTTACAATGCTGCCAATAATCGAAATTAAATTCATAATATTTTAAAAAAAATAAAAATAAAAAATTCAAACAAGAATGTTGTTTATTAATTTTCTATTTACCCTTTCCTTAGGGAATATGAATGGCCGTTTATGGGAAATAATTCGGAGACATCCCAGAATTTTAGCTATTTAAAAAATTTTGATCCTAACTTTATTTTATCAAAACCAGTTTGACCTTAAAAACAAATTTTTTGATTTTGTTGCAATTAAATTAAATTTTGATTATTTAGAAACAACAAACTAATTTATAATAGTTTATAATTCGGTTCTCAGTTTAATAGATGGAACCGCTTTCAAAACAATAATTAAGAATTAAAGATTGACATTGTTTGAATTAAGATGGATCAAATATTAAATAATATTTTGACAACATGTGGTCAACTAGGCCACCGAGTCCAAATAATTTATGATTAGTTTATGACACAGTTTATTAAAAGAGAATATTGCATGCTGTATTACATGACGTGCAAATTACTCCATCGAATTATATAAAGTAGCATTTTTCTTTTACAATATAAATTATCAAACTGATGTAGAATTTGAATAAAATTTGAAAATATAACAAATCATGATTACAAATAAACAAAGTTATTGATAAAATAAACGATTTTATTTTAAAAAAATTTGTATTTGGTGTAGGACTCTTCCTGTGCTACTTATGTCTGAATTTTACTTATTCTAGAATTTAAGCTTATTGGTGATAAGTTTATTCTTATAAATATTGAGACAATTATTCCAAGAATGTAGTTTATTTTCCTATTATAATTTTTTTTAAAATAAAATATTTTAAATTCTTTTTATATAAAATTTTATAAAGAAGAAAAGAAAAGTAGGTGGCATACTCATACCACCCGTGGTTCGCCTTTATCTATCACCGTATTAACACAATAAAAAAAATTTGACTTAGGTTGAGATAAGTATGTATAATTTATTTTATTAGACTTCATCTAACTAACTTATCCTTCATAACCATCAAACAACAAAACATGTTAATATATAATATTATTTATTATTATATTATTATGTTAATTGTTAACTGGATGTATGGGTTTTAAATCACTTCTTTTCTTATACTATCTCTCTTCTATTTATCATATGAAAGATAATATTAATTTATAAATGATGACATCAAAATCAACTATAAAAATGCAAATTTCATTTATATAATGGTATAAATATCACATTATTGAAAGCAAATACGTATACAACTTTTGTAAACAAATATATTGAACAAGTAGACAATTTAAATAAATCAATTTTTCATTTATTAAGAATGATTATGCTTAAGTAAATTTTAAACTTTAAATAAATAAAGAATTTGACCAAGTAGAACTAGTTTTAAAAAACAAATTGTCATATTAGCAAATTATGTCTACCACATTTTCGTGTATAGCCACGCTAATGGCTCAAAATCTACACATAAACTAATGATGCGCACATTTTAGCTTATTTGTAATGAATAACTTGGGCACTATCAATATAAATATCCTTTTCCACAATTATTTTATGTAATAAAATGTTTCGAGCGCCCAAATTAATTATAGAAAACAAAATATTTGATGAGTCAACATAAACATCTGCAAAATTAATTTAATTTTACAAAATTAATTTTGATTAAGATTAACTTTCAAAGTAACGTGTTTAATAAACTATTATAAAAAGAAAATTAATAGAAAAATAAAATATATTTTTCCCCATGCACTGTGCACAGAAATATGGATATGCACTGTGCACAGAAACAAATGCACAAGGTAAAATTTATACAGTTCTTCCACATGATTCTTTCATGAGTATATTGATTGAGTTCTACAATCAACTCGTCCATTGAAACTGTCAACTAGCAGGCTCGTATTTGCAAATACAGTCGTACAAGTTCCCTTTAACCAATTTTTCAGCCAATCTCTGATTTTTTACCATTGCAAGCTGCCAATAATTATTTAAAAAATAAATAAAGACACGTAGAAGGGAGAGAAAAAATGTATCAAACAGATCACTCATGAACAGAGTGGTATGTAATCACGCAGTGGAAACATAACAATGATAGAAGTGATCAAGTACTAGGCAGACATGAACAATGGCATAAAAAATGTGGTCATGAAATGGATGATGAGAAACCATAACAAGGGTATGGTGAATGCATACGAGGTCATGATAGCAAATTCTCAGTCAAAGCAACAAGTGAAGAGCTTGATCTGCTATGTTACGGAGGTCAGGTTGATGAAGACAAAGCAAAAATTTGGCGACTTACACTTCCACCCAAGTACAATGTGTCCTCTGGCGCATACTCAATAATATATTGACCACACCAGACAAATATTTTTAATCAAAAGGAAAAAATGTTATTGCATCATTATACGGTTGTAATCCTAACCAGGATAGCACTACAACCTGTATCAATCATATACAGCATTCTTAACACAATTAACAGAAAAAAACACAAAAGTGAGGGCCAAACAGGACAATTTATTCGAAAGAGGCATCAACTTTGAAAATGGACTCGGGTGTGTCACTTTTGTGGAAAGAAGCAGGAAACTTTAGTCCACAATTGGTTTGCATGTGACAAAAGTCATTCGATATGGTGTGCATGCTCGTAGTGGGTAGGTAGGTACAACGTGGGTGATGCCACAGAATGCTTTGGAGCACTGCAATTTTTGTTATAGGCAACTAGAATGAAGGAAAAGAGATCGGATGGATTTTGTGGGGGTCTATAACGTGGAATATATGGAGGTGTAGAACAAGTGTGTTCACTGAAAATTTTGATCATAACTCAATCATGAAGGACATACTTTCTATAATGGATGTGGGTCGGAGGGTATATTCCATGCAGGAGTGTAGTTAGATGTACTTATTGATGAATATAGGAGACGTGGTAGTATGGTTAGAGTTTATTTATATGCCACTGCATTGCATATAATTTATAAATAAACCATTACTGGATATTCGTTGTTTATTTACTAATTGGTGATACGTATATAACACTTCTAGGTACCTCTGGTAACATTGTTATTATTATTATATTCTTCTTTGCTGAACAAAAAAAAAGGGACAAGGGAAGAAAACATATGCTTAGCTCTAGATATGCTGACTTGTGAGAAAGATAATGCATATGAAGAATGTAAATCGATTCATGATCATGACTTGAGTTATGTAACAATCCCATGACTTGAGTTATGTAACAATCCCAAGTAGTGGAGTCCTTAACATAAGACAATTATCATAGAAAAGACAAAAATAAGGTTAGAGAAGCATTAGCTCAAGTATACTCAACCAAAACAGTATGAAATTCATTAGACTGCAATAATGGCTATTAGCAGTAAACCAGAAACCATTACCTTCACAGAATCACATTTAAACCGAGCATTGAGGTTAGTATGAAGAGCTCGACCCATCCCTTCCAAAATTAACTGCATTAAAAAGCTTAATTAGAATATTTTTCTCCTTCAAATTGTTAGCACACTAATGTTATCAAATACAGATCAAATGCCCCACCAGATCGGCATCTTTTGCGGCAGCAGCAAGCTCAGAGCTGACCTGTCTTAAGTCTATACATGGACTACCACACCCGTTCTCAACAACCATCAAAGGGATTGACGATGAATTTTCTTTAGAGCTGTTTGAAGTATTAATCATTGCATCCACAAGCAAGCCTCCAACTTCAGCAGCTCGCCTTAGAATGTCACAATGCTGTAAACTAGAATTAGATCCACTCAAAGATAACTTGGTCAAGGTAAAATCAACAAATGGGCATTTAATATTTCGTGGATTAGAAATGAGACAATTAAACCTTAAAAGTAAACTCAATAAGACAGCATTGTCCAAGCCTTACATAAGGAGTATTTTGGCCATATTCCTTTATAATGTAGGACATCTTAACGCACCCTTCATACTTGACACTACCCATTGTGAATTTTCCAGGAACAATATTTCCAAGTGGTCCAACATCAAGGTTGAAAATAAGCTCTAATATTATATTTTAAAAAGATTAAGACCTAACTCAACCCTCAAAAGTCATCTCAAGAGGGAAGGATTGGCCAAACTTAATAAGGTTTAGTTTGACCTCATTCCATGCTAGTGGGTCATTTTAACAACGTCAACAGCATTGGAAACCTCTAACAACTCTTTTATAGATCCTGAACATTATACAAATGAGTTTTGGTAGTTCTTTGCTATACCACTTTATTCCAATTGTAAAGGAAGGTATACATAATAAAATATAGACTGAATAGTCTTTTTGGTATTTTTAAGTGTACACCATTTCTAGTTAGTCCTTAAATGTTAATAAATAAATAATCCCTGAAATTAACTTTTCCGTATGTCTTTTGTTTCAAACAAGTCCCTACATATTTAGAATTTAATCCTTACATATATGAATTAAGTTGTATTTTATCATAACATAGAGAAACTAAATGCAGTTTAATGATAACATATAGGACTTACTTCGAATGAAAAATGATTGTGAGAGATTAAAGTTACTTTCAAGGATTTTATTTGAATTCCAAGACTAAATTGAAACTTCCATATACTTTAAATAACCAAATTATTGACCATTCTACCTAAAATATATATATTCCTATTCCATTTCATACACTAATGAATCAATTTGTTAGTAATAATAGACAAAGTAAAAGGGTTAGCCTACGTACAAAAAACCTCACTTTCCTGCGTGGTCATTTAACTAAAATTAATTTCAGCACTTATCTATCTCTAGTCCTTGTGTTCAAACAATTTGTTAATTCTTATTACTTGAATGGACCCAGGCAGCTCAAAGGGGGAGGACTTTCCAAATCTTTATTATGTATATTCATGCCAATATTCTGGCCAATGTGGCAAATGCTAACAGTTTCTACAACATAAATACAAATGTAATTGCAAGCATGTTCTACACTAATGACTATAAGTTTAGTATGTTCCCTCTCAAAGGGAATAAAAACAAATAGAGGTATCTGAATGGTGAGGATATTCAGATGAAATTTACAAGGGGCTCTTAAACATAAAATGTAACAGACCAAATTAGAGTTTACTAAACAAAAATACGCAAACCTTGGCAGCCTCAGCTACGATATCAGGAAGCTCCATTGCAGTGACATCATTTAAAGCAGGAAGTGAGTTTGCAACCAACACTACCTGGAAGAACACATTTGTAGTTAATGCAGTAACGACATAAAACTTAAAGACATCAGCCAGGGTAACTTTATAGAAGCCAAACTTGCAAAAATCAAGAGTTTACTTGAAATATGAAAGCATGATCTTCCTAAAAAAACTACTCCAAAGTGTAGGCAACTTTCTCATTTAAAATTGGGCTACCAATAAATCTCAATATTATCTACGAACCATGGATTCAACTAATTACCAAAACATATTCAGTAAATTAAACATTTATTCAAGGTAATAGTTGAAATTCAAATAAACTATAAATATCATTAATAATGATAATAATACTGGAAGGGGATTTAAAACAAAAAAAATCTTTGTGGTCCAATACAGAAGTCCGGAGTAACAGGAAGTCAACTTACTTCAGTTCCACGGCGGAGGAGCTCCCTAGCTAATGGAAGCATCCCTAGAACAATGTCAGCGCCTGAGTTGTCTACAAAAAGTAAAGCTCTCTTGTGACGTGGACTTTTCTTGTTTTCAGCCCCTAACATTCTCTCTTTAAAGTCATCAAAATCATCCACCTATATTAGAAATAATTAGTATAGCATTGAACCATCAACTACCCCAACCAACATGTTTAAGTTCACTAACCCTCCAAGGTCTACGCATTTTATTGCGACTCATTCTGTAAATTTCAATGATAGTTCCTTTATGATAGAGATCCACACATGCACGAGATCCCCAGTCAAAAATGTTTGCCGCAAGAACACCTTCAATTAGTGTAAGCAGTCTTGATTCCTGAACAAAGGGGGTTTTCATAGTACTGAGAAACTGGGATTGCTTAATCCACCAGAAGAACAAAAAATACTACATATTTGTATTCGAATAACAGTGTGCTACCAGCATAAAGTTAACTAATCCAGTTATACCATTCACTAGCAGAACCAAAAATACTACATATGTTTATATGAATGGACCAGTGTGCTACTACCAGCATAAAGCTAACTCAAATTTATACTTTTCACCCAAAGTAATGAATTCGTCAAACACAATTTCTTCAAAGGATATAACAATGATTAGATAAACCAGTTATAATAAAATACATGAAAGAATAATATTGACTCCTCCCATTGCCAACACTCTAGATTAAGATTACCTCATCCATACTATCAAGTTCCGCCAGCAAGTCAGGTAAAACAGCGAGAGATGCCTCATTTTCCCTGTTTTACACACAATCCAAACATGTGAAGTTGTTATAGAATGTACGACATTGTCCATAGAATATAGGCATGAAAATGACAACAAATGAAGTATACATTGCCAGCATGAACTTCTTTACTAAAGAAAGAATTTTAATAATTACAAAAAAAAAAAGCGAGCCTTAGCACAACAGAAAAGTTTGTCTTGTGATCAGGTCATGGGTTACAGTCATGGTAATAGCTCCATTGCTACTGTGGGCAAGCATTAGGCTGTGTATATATGTTCCGTGTCCAACCCAGATCCCATGGCATGGGCAATGTGCAAGCCACCCTTTACTTTGTTTTCAGATTCAAATTGTAAATGCGTAAATAAAATATTAACATTGAAAAAAATCCAAATTTAAGGACCAGTGGCCTATGAACAAGGTTGAATACATGTAAAAGAAAAATCAAGATCGTTTTACTAGAGGATAAAAATAATCAAAGAAATCTTGATGCATATATTTCAAATAAGGGAGTTTTTTTTTTTATCTTCAAAATTATTCGATAAGGTATAAAAAGAGGAATCAGTCCCCCTAAAACAATAATAAAAGTAGATATAAATTTCATTTTAGCTTCACTGTGTAAAAATAGTATTAGGAAAATGAGTAGGAAAAATAGAACTTACAAGGAAGCACACCAGACGAGTCAAGAGCTGAGATTTTCCCCTTTCTTCTAATTTTACCATGTAAATGAAACTTTAATATTCTTAGATGTCCACTCAATAATGGAAAGTGTTAAGCTTGTAGTCTGCATGGGTTCAGTGAGCTAGTATACAATATCTTGTTTTATATTCACATCAGCAGCTAATTCCCGATAAGCTAGATAAATTGCTTTTGACAATTTGCACACAAAATAAGGGACTTAAAAGACAATTCAGCTACCTTACGAACACAGGTAAAGACCTCATTTTTATAGTTTTATACAGAAAAAAAGTATTTACCTCTGCTTTATACTTCTGTAGGCATCAACAAACTGGAATTCCCTCAAGCATTCTTCCCTCATTTCCAAGAGATTGGCAAGGCCTAACTTCCCATATGCGGAAGGCTCCTCCATCAACCTATTCAGTTGGTGGAGATATTTGATCAGTGAAAAAAGCTCATGCCAAGTAAAATCTGACTTTTCTTAAAAGGAATAAAATAAGCTTATTATTCTAAGCTAAGTCAATAAATTTTAAAAATATATTAAACATAACAAATACAGCTACAAAAAGACTGCTACAAAAGTGATCTGAAAGGACAATGAAGAACTTCATGTTTGAGCAAATGTGCAACTACCTGCATTTCACAAGAAATTTAAGACCCTAGTTCTTACGCAACCCATTTTGTACCTCATCTGAATACTTATGTAATAGAACTTTGCACAAATTTCGTAGCTTCATTAAGCAATTTTTTCTTTTATTCTGAGGTATTCACAATCTAACAAAAGACATGGAGGAGACCTCATTAACAGTCTATTTGTTATATTGGAAAGACGGGGAGAGGTTGGAAGCATGAGGAAAGGGGTGGAAGTTGGTTGTTTAGGAGAGTGGAAGCGTGAGAAAAGATTTAAAAAAATAGAAACTCGTGTCAAATTTTTTCCCTGCTGAGTTGAAAAAAAGGCGTGGAAATTGGGATATGAAAGCCGCATAATTGATTATGTTAGGTAACATAAGATAATAGATTTAAATGTAAAATATTAGTTGGTTTTAAACTTCTATAATCAATTTTGGACAACTATGGGAGTTTGAATTTTTTTTTTAATTTATTTATTTTCTTATTATAAAACAATAAATAAATAATATTAATAATATAAAATTATTATTAACAAAAAAATTAAACAATTTCAAAATCTTTCGTTTCTCTTTCGACAAACAATCTCTTTTCACTCTATTTCTTACCTATTTCTATTCCTTTCTTTTCCATTTACTTCCTTTCCTTCTATTTCTTTCCGCTTTACCAAATATTTCATAAATCTTTGTGATAATAGAAATTCAGTTTAGGGTTTGACATGGAAGAACGTTCTTCATTATGTTCTTTTGAGGAAAAACATAATTTGTGGAATGATTCAACCTCGTGAGGGAATTTGTTGTGCGTACATGAAACAAGATTAGGGGATAAAATTCTCAAGCTCTGCTTCAAGAGCAGATGTAAGTCACAAGTTATCACCAAAACACCATGAATTTGGTTTGGACTCTCATCTATACCAATTCTTTTTAACTTACATCAGTTACAATATTTGATTAGTAATGTCTTATGTTGGACATTTGAATTTAACTTTACATGAAAATTTGACATCATATTTCCTCAACTTGGTCTAAATTTTCATAAAATAGATTACTTTCAAAGACTGTTGTGTTAAGAATCAATATCCCTCCCCCTCCTGGTTCCCATTTTCCAATCCAGTACGTGACAACTTGACATATATTTCCTCAACTTGTTGGGAATTTTTATGAATAGATTACTTTCGAAGAATAGTGTTAAAAACCAATATCCCTCCCCTCTTGGTTCCATTTTCCTATCCAGTACAATTTCTATAACTTCTCATCAAGAACATATGGGCCTTTCTCTTCAAATGCTTTCATGGAGAAAGAATGATATGCTACAAAATTAAAAATGCGGGAGTGGGATAGAGTAGACAGAGGTCAAAGTACCCATTCTAGCAAATTTGACAAGATCAAAGCGAGTGAGTTGCATCCAAAAGCAAAGTCATGGTGCTCAGAACCTTGAGTTGCTTATCATATTTTCTGTTTTGTTAATGAGTATCAAAACGCATGAAATATGCTGCAAGGGCACTTGACCCACAATAAATCTTTAAAACTAATTTAACTAACTAAAGACAACAACACAAAAAAAACTCTCAAATGGGTACTCAAACAATAAACTCATAACAAGAGAAGCAGAGTTACCCATGCATCATGTAAGCCATAAAAACAGGAATAGTGTGTCAACATTACCTTGCCAAGTGGGCTGAAAATGCACGGGCAAAAGCATCACCCCTTCTTTTGGCATCATCAGCTCCACCTTCACTTGCTACCGCCTATCATGTTTTAATTAGGAATTTTACGATCATAAACTAATTTCTAACAATTTGGCTTTCACAGTTTACTTCCAACAAGATGGTCCATGCATTAGAGTTAGAACTATACACAAAACTGAGAAAGTCAAGGTTTGAATTCAGCCCTTCAACAAGCTCTATGCATAACTAAGATTAGGTCTAGTTTGCAAAATATTTTCCTTTCATCTGTATTTTTCACTACTACATGTAAAAAGAATATCTTGTTTTAACTCTGTTTCCTATTTTAAAGATTCAAATACAACTTTTTTTATTTGCAATATTTCCTGCACAAATCTTCAAAACCAGGAAACAAAGAGAAAACAGTGTAGCATTTTTGTACTTATTTGTATAACAAGACGGAAATAAAATATTTTCTTAAATCAAACAGAAGTTGCACAAGATAAATATGCAAAATAAGTTACATAGTGTAATCCAACTGATTTCAAGAAAATTATGAAAGCTAAAACATAAATAATAATTTTTTTTAGGAAATAACATATCAATCATTCAATGATGTTAGATTCACATACTAGACAAGATTACCCCTTACCGTTTTGTAATAACTTATATATAACTCAAACTCGTAGCTATTTTTTTTATCACTATCCAGATGCAAGATTATTGGTAAGCCTCATTGTTTACCTTTGGTGAATTTTGAAGTCATCAGTTAACAAAAAGCATTACATATACTATGTAAGCCAGAAATTTTAAGACAATTAAAGACGGAAAGTATCTTAATTAGTTTGGAATATACACAATTATTCAGCTGATAAAGTGGTCCTGTTGGGCTCTATGGTGCTGTGGTAATATTTTTTTCATGGAAGGATTTTACTTTTCAGTAATGTAAAATGCACTGAATTTGACAAGCTTTACTTAGTTGATAAGATATCTCTGTATTGTTTTCTTATGTTTGGATTTCTGAATTTCTTTAAGGCATCTTATTCTCTTTATTGCAAGTAGAACGTAAGGTTATATGTCTTTTGGTTTCTTATCATGTGTACAGGTGTGTCCAATAATTGTGTCCAATCATATAGTGTTTGAACATTTGAGAGATACAAAGAGACACAAGCATGAACACCAGGTGTTCCATCTTTCACAAAAACTGATTACCTTGTCTACAAGATCTGACAAATGCTCAGATAAAATGGTGAGCCAATATCTACATGAGATACAAACTGTGTTAGCTTAAGAAGAATTACTGTGATCTATGAAGTACAAACAAATTGCTTACTTTAGTTCACTGTTATCTGATAGGTCAATCGTATTAGGCTCATACCTGTAAAGAGGGGATTCGATACTTGTTAAAAAAGAACAAAAGTAATTATGATATCATATAATCGCATTGTAAAAGCAATGAGTGAGCAAACAAAGGTAACTTTTTTAGTGAATCGGACAAGGAAGAAGGGTTTCAAATCCTATATGCATTAGAAAAAGGGTAGAAATCATAATTTTACCCCAAAAAATCGTAAACAACATTGTTTCAAGGATAAAAATGGATGTTTGAAGTATATTTCACTGTAGCACTGCTTTAGCATGCAAAGAACTGCAATTTTGGCTGTGCTGATATTCAGGTTGCAATGGCCACAATTGATAACTGCTCTCCTATTTGAATCAGCTGCAATTATGGTATAGCACCTCCATAACATTCTATTGACTTAATGATATATATTGATGTATATGCAAACACTCATAGCTTTATTGCCATCTTTTGCAATATAAATTACCAAAACAATTAGAAACATGAGAAGCCCAATAGATGAAAAAAATTATCTTGAAGGATTCAGATCGTGCTTACAATTTTGGGTCTGCTAGTAATGGAAACACCTCCAATGTTGGTACTAGATGGAGAACACCAACATTTAGAGCACTTGCATCAGATCGCAGAGTACTTCCTTTTGACAAAGGAACCTCAAAACCCCCAAGTCCAGTAGTTCCAGCAAGTGGAGTCATTGGCACAGGTGCAGTAATCTCAGTTCCCTTCTGCAAAAACTTCTCCATCCATGAAATCTGCATTGAAACTCTAAATTACATAAATTTTCTAATTGATTGAGCCACTTTAGAACTTAAGAAAACAACTTTCGATGACATCAGAGTCATAATGATCTGAAAGAATTTGTAAGAAATGATTAAATCAACCTAACAAGAATGCAAACTAAACTTATGAAAAATTGAGACAAATGTATGTGAAAAGAGGGACAGAAAAAAAAAGAAAAAGAAAGAAAACTGACTCAGAATTCTACCACTCGAACTGAATATGAAAAAGAATATCATAATTGCAGTTATACGATTTTGGATTTTATTATGGTGATTAGTTACTTGCAGTGACATGCAACTAATTTGGCAGGTAACCTGTAACTAATTTTGAAAGTTAGTGATAACCATATTACAATAGACTGATTATAGTCTGGTGTAACGGACAGAAATTAATGCTACAATATGATACCCATAGAGATATTACTATGTTAGTATATAATACCACATAACCATACTTAACAGATACAATGTAAACACCCCATCTCCTATGCATTTTACTTACATTCTCTAAATGGAATTTAAACAATTATAGCACAGGAAACATGCACTACTGAGCACCTTTTAACTCTTACCTTTTCAATTTATAATTTCATGCCAGATATTTAAAGGTACTCCCATCATCCACTTCTATGTTCCACACAATCTGTGTTTAGTAGCTATCCAAATTGGTAGGCAAGTGTTCCAACTAAATGGAATATGATTCTAGGTGAAAACATTTTACATTAATCTAGAGGAATTTGTTGGTGGAGTATTTTGGCTATTTTATAATTGCAAGTTCAAGAAAAACATCAAACACAAAAGTGGGAGCTTGTTGATTGTAATGGAATGAATGCTCCCTAAAATACACACTATTAAATTGACTTGAGAGTTATGTTAGGATCAATTTTTGTTGTTAGCTGTCTCTTTGGAAAGCTTAGCAAAACAATATGGTAAATTCATAACTGAGAAGTCTAGCAAAAAACACATCTAAAGATTATGCATATATCTTATGCAAGCCACCACGGCATATGTTAGAAACTTCCAATCCCTATCACTTGCCTTCTCATTTAAATCTCCAAGTGGTGGGCCATGAATCTTGCCTCCGGTATAAGGAGCACCTATTGGAAATCTTTCCACCAAGTGATGCACCATGAGGTCATCTAAACCATGCTTCTCATAACTCATAAATGCACCTAAAGCTCCCAGAAATCCTTCATGTCGCAAGAACATTGCTTGTGCTTCTCCATTAGACCTAAATGAAAAATAATAATAATGAGTCAATAAAGTATTTTAATTGAAAGAAAAGAAATCTTGTTGTCTTTATGTACCAGAAATGTACAGCAAAAGAAATAGTGTCCATGGTATAGGCATGACCCCTTATAAAAAATCCACCAAAAAAGATTCGCTTCAACCGAAATCGCAATGCGTTCAAGTAAGCTATCTACAGAGATGAAAAGAACATTGGTTGGGTTCCTTCTGGAAACAAAAAATAGAATAGAACATAAAAATTACGGAAGCTGGATGCCTAATAATGCTTTCATGTATCATCCAAAATTAGTCTTTATTATCTTCATAGATGGTAGTTGCCATTGTTTTCTTTAGGTTGCATTCATATAAAGGAAACTATTTCTAGAAATTCTTATTTAAAAATCAATCAATTATATCTTAGATCTTGAGAGAAATAGGTTAGCAAATTTTCAAAGACCTAGTGTAACATTTTGTAAATATAATTTGAATAATTAAAAAAAAAAAAACTTTTTTTGCATATATTTGTAAAAAAGCTTCTCGAAAGAATATATTCTATCAACAGTCATTTCTGTAAATGTTGATAGAGATAGAAAATCATTCATGAGCCTCTATGTAGATATAAATGTTGCTAGAGATAGAAAGTCATTCATGAGATAGAAAAAGGTTAGCAAATTGGCAAAGACCTAGTGTATCATTTTGTAAATATAATTTGAATAATTAAAAGAAAAAAAAAACTTTTTTTTGCATATATTTGTAGTAAAGCTTCTTGAAATAATATATTCTTTCAACAGTCATTTCTGTAAAAGTTGCTAGAGATAGAAAATCATTCATGAGCATCTATGTAGCGATACTCTATATAGTCAAGAATTTAATTCATTGTTCCTCGATGCTTCCAATAAAATATTTCATCGTTGATAGGTCACACTCAAAGAGCTCTTGCGTGAGGGGCAAGTTAAGATAAGATGGATAACAGGACCATTAATGAGCCTCCACCCAAACCTCAAACCCTTAAAAGAAAGTTAGTCTTCCACACATAAATTTTATGTGAAATATGACAATATTCAATTAACCACAAAGAACTTCATTTTTACATGTCTAATTTATAAAACTGTTCCTTGATATTTGAGATAATGAATTGAATAATAGGATAAACTGAATGAAACGGTATATATGTATGCATGTATGACAGATGAATAGAACTATAGTAGTCAGCTCACCTGGCCAATATTGTATGAAATCATCCTTAGAAGAGAAAGTGATATATCTTCAGGTCTGTATTCTTCAAGCTCCTTTTTTTCTGATATTGTTTTGCCAAAACTTGAAGCAATAGTGGAAGCTGATAGGCCAATCTAGTATTGTTTATTTATACCAGGATACCTCAGTTAGCTGATAGACAGTGTGAAATTATTCATATTTTTGTACTCCATAAAGTTAATTTGGAACAATTTCTCTCCATGATGAACATTTATATGGAAATAAGAACAGCTGAAAAAAATTACCTTAGAATAGTCCAAACCCCCATAAATGTCCCCAACTAGCATGTCCATACTTCTATTATCTCCTTTCTGACTCAGTTCAAGCAACTCATCAAAACTGAAATTCATTTCATCACCTTGTAAATACTCAATGGTTCAAAAATAGCAGTATATAAAACTAGCGAGTCAAAATAAAATGACCTCTTGCACTTTGTTAACAGTCTTCCCAAGCCCCAATAAGTACCGCCCCCAACATTTGTCCCACTAACCCTCTCAAATTTTCCATCTCCATCAACCTATATCAACATAAATTGAAAATCCAATAACATGTTAGTCTTTTGGCTCAATTTGGATAAACTTCTCAATAAATGCTCACAAGAACAGTAATGAGTAGATAAAATGAATCAAACTTCTCCCAGCAGTAAAAATCATATGTACCTCAACCTTTTATTAGAGATACCTCTTTTAACTTCTCCAAAAGCTAAGAAGCTAAAGTTAATTTTAACCTTTGGGAGAAACTTGATTCATTTTACCTCATTTTCTTTTCTTTTAAGTGTTTGTTGAGAAGTTTATCCAGATTTACTCTATACCAAAGAGATAAAAATATTGATTAAGTCAGGAAACAAGACAAAATGTACCTTGATCATACTAACACCAGATCCAATATTAACAAGAAGATAAGGGAATAGATCATTAGGCTCAATTTGAACAAACTCTTTGTGGCCCTCCATGTGTGTGAAAGCTTCATGACGGATTGCCTACTAAGTGGTAGAACTTCTAATCAGAAATTATTGAAAGTGAAAAAGAAAAATACAGATCAGTCAACAAGAAAAACTTACCATTAAACATACTGGTTACATATTCCAAACTAAAAGATAGAATTATCACAAGCAAAACATAGTTCTCAATCAGATCTAGGTTGGTAGCAAGAACCATAAAACGTCAAGAAGGAAAACACTGTAATAGTCACCTATAGCTATATAAAATTTTTACACAAAAGCACAGGCCAGTCTTGTCAATCAATTGGCTGTTTACCTTCAAAACTAGGGGAAAACACAATAACATGACTTGAAAAAAAGCAAATTCACAGTTTCTTTTTAATCTTTATTTATTTCTAACTGTCTATTTGAATTAGGAGTAAAAGTACCAATTCAAAAGACAATCTATTGCTCCTATCTACCTCAGCTGAGCTGATCTAGATAGAATGCAAGTGAAACAAACCATTAGAAGCAAGGATCCACCTTTAGCAAGAAGTTAGCTCCTGCCACAAGACAATCCATTTCATCTTCTTTGTCAAGACTAACCCCAAGTCTTTCTTTGAAAAGGTCAGCGTACTTGTATGCTCCACCACCAGTAGCCTTCATCACAAAATGAATTTGTTAGTGTAGTACTTCATCAACAGCATTAACGTAAAAGACAAGCAGAAAAGTAGTTATCCTTTTTGCAATAACTACATCTACATGTGATAATAAGTAGCAAAAAGATACAGCTTTTCATGAGCAATCCAAAATAAATTATGATTGATGATTTGAATAAATTATACATTCAGAAAAGTAAAATAGAATCTAACTTCTGAATCTTCTGAACAAACCTAAACATCAGTTCGAGACTCAGTAGTTACCTTAATTATGCCATTCTGGTCAGTCACACCATCAGAGTAATGTGACTCCAACCCTATAGCCAAGAAAAGAAGTTCCAAAAATCATAAATTTTCCTTTCAGTCCTGTGTACAATATTTTAGATATGTATAATGTAGTGAAATCAACATAGGACATAGAAGATTACAAAATGATATTGAATAGAAAAAAAAAAGGTAGAAGAGACTGATAGAAGTAATAAACTAAGCTAGACTATATACCCCCACAGTGAAGCTGCTTTGAATGAATGAAATCCAAGCATTCATTAATCTTTCTAGTTTCAAACTTCACAAAGTGAAGCCTTCCACCAAGAATAGGGTAGCTTCTCCTGTTACCATTAGAAAGCCCTAGCCGCTCCTTCATACTTCTCTTCCTTTTATCATCGGCTGATTGGTCTTCATGTCTTGAAAAGTACACCAACTTTATCAGGGATCCTGCCCATATGATTGAGTAAGATTAGTTTCAGAGTTCAGACATATTCCACTCCACATACTACCAGTCATTCATTTTCCCGAAAATTAATACAGAATTTAGTTAATTTACCAATTATGCTTCCTTAAGTACAAAACAAACTGTAAAGAACCCAACAAGAGAAAAAGTCAAACTAATATGGCCCTCTCATAGTATTTATTTAGTTGTCTTTTTTCTCCGCAAGAAAGAGCTCAAGGGACAACATAAAAACACCAGAAATATGGGACACGACCAGGTGTACAACCTAATGAAAGAATGATATAAAACCGAAGAAAAGAGAACAAAAACCCTTTAAGGTTTAATAAGGGAGGCCTCAAAAGTTTGTAATATACCAACAGAAATTGCCAATTATAACTCTCAGCCACCACCATAAACGAAACATAAGAAAAACCAGTTGGCATCAAAAGAAACTGAAAAATATAATTAAGTATATATATATATATATATATATATATATATATATATATATATATATACCTCCAAAAAAAGTTCCACTATGAATTAATTCTCACAAATAGCAACTACTGTGTAGATATATATATATACATATATACCTCCAATGTCAAGTGCTAGGTGAGATAAATCATCTGATTGATTAGGCAACAAAATGGTGGGATACTTCTCCTCCTCATTGCCTTGAATCTCTGCTTTGCTGACATCAAGTTGAGGCCTCGAACCCGACCTGTGCATGGAACTGGCAGCCGTAGGAGTCATCTCTCTCTCCCCTTCACCACTCTCCAATTGCGTGCCTGTGGTGTTATGGTTGTTCTCACTCTCCTGCGTCTGCAATTTCTGCTCTTCGATAAGTCCAAGAACTTGTTTTTGTTGCTGTTCCCCTTCTACAGAACCAGCCATCTTATATAAATTCAGAACCACCCAAACCAAACCAAACCCAACCAAACTCGCTCCCTAACCCCACCAACTTGCCTCCCTCCTTCACTCCCTATTTGGTCACTGGTCCTGTACCTATCCTACATTCGTAAAACAAAGAAACAACGCTAAAAATAAAAATAAATACTATATAATATAACGTCTATTATTATTATTCACTACTAGTAGTAAAATTAACCACTACTTCGTGGGGGTAATGGAGAAGCCATTCTTACGTTGATAAAATGAAAAAAAAAAATGCAAACTGGGAATGGAATTTCGATCTCGGAGAAAATGGAATTGCGCAATTACGCGCCGACGAAACGGATTTGGAATTTATAGAAAGGTTAATGAATGAGTGTGTGAAAACAACTTGAGTGGGAAAGTGTTCCTTCTAGGATGAAGGCGGAAACAAAAGTAGGGGCAATGATGTAACAAACCTTCAGATAAATATACACAGAGAGAGAGTGTGTGGTTATGCAACTCCCAGAGCAAACGGTGTGTGTGTGTGTGTGTGAACCTGTGAATCTGTTCGCCGCGCGCGTACTTGTAATCTTCGTCATCACTTCCGTACGCTCATTTGTATATACGCGCTAATTGAGAGCGTGCTGTTTAGTTCGCTTATTACTTTTTATTATATTATTATTATATTTTTCGAAAATGTTTAGATCATTTTTTTATAAGTATTAAAAAAATGATATTATTATTAGTTAAAATTAATTTATAGACAAATTAAATGAATAAAATAATTTTTAAAAATTAACTTATACATATAAAAAATTAATTTTAATGTTTTGTCTTATTCATTTAAATGTTTTTGGGGAGAAATTCTCTGCAAATATACTTAAATAATAAAAATTATCGAACAGGACTTTCTCGTTAATTTTAAATAACAAGAGAGGATGCATATCCTTTTCAATCAATTTGGTTGTTACCCTTCGTGAGTGTACATTTATCTAGGGATAATAAAGTACATAAATGTGATACTAGAGGAAACACGAAACTTGGAATTAGAATAAAGACAAATTTTTATTTTATCAATTAATTGGAATTGAATATAGGTCGTGGATGGAATTTTTATTTTATCTATACAAATTAATAGGAATTTTAATAATTTTAAAGAATAGTTAATTAATAAAAAAAATACCCTGTACAAGTTTTGATGTTATGAAAACTCTTATTAATTTAACATGTTCATATAACTTTTGAATATATATATATATATTATTATTATTATTTTTTTTGTTGGTAACTTTGTCTAATAATTGGTTTTAAGTTAAAAATTTTATATGATATAGTGTTTTCTCATTCTCACCTGCTGTAGTAGATATCTTTTCAGTCGAGGATGTTCGGTTGTCTCAATTCTCCTTAATTAAGAAGAATGTTCAGTAGAATCTCATATTGTCTTATGGTACAATTTATAGATTTTATTTTATTGACAAAAGTTTTTCTCGTTTTATCTTTTTCTCTTATAATTTATATATATTAAATTATTATATTTTAAATAAAACAAATTTCATTAATATAATTTATATTTTAAAAATATATTTTTTTATTTTAAATAAAAACTAGTTTCATTAATATAATGTAATTAGATCGAAATTGATCTATTAGCCCGTTGACTTAATACAAGGTTAAACTTTACTAAAAAATATTACCTGTTTTAAAATATAGGATAAACTAGACAATCAATTTTTTGACGTGAGGGTCAAACCAAGCTAGGTTGAACCACCCGTTTTAACAACCTTAACTATACTTTCGAGAAACCTACAGTCACTAGTGGATTGCTTAATGGCAAGTTATGCTATGAGAATATGATATCCTTTACACCCCACAAAAAGTTATCAAAGGAAGTGTTTTGGCTTAATACTTTGCACATCAACCATCAAAAGATTATCAATTAATAAAGTATGGTCTTTATTGTTTGATGGAGCTTCTAACATAGTTGTCGCTGTCATGCCCCGCAAGGGGGAACGAAAGGTGCGAGCGGTCGCGATATGATGACTAGAACTCTCGTTTTCATAAAATAATTTGATCATCACTTTTAGGATGCCCAATAACCGAACTAACCTTAAAAGTGAGATTTTTGCAAAATGTGTTCTATGGAGTCGCCACCAATGTTTTAACCATAAACATTGAAAAATGATAAAAAAGGAAGACGTTGGTTAAGAAAACCAACTTTGACCATTATAAATAAAGTTAGGTAAGAGAGTTAGTTACGCGTGGAGAAGGTGTTAGCACCCCACAGCGCCCCTTTCAGGTTCCCTTGATTGATTAATTCATAAAGATTCAAAATTTATGTCTTTACCCTATTTATTTATTTGCAATATTTATTTAAATATCTACATGACCCTAATTTCTAATGCACACAAAGGAAAACGATAAAAGAGTAAGGGATTGAAAAGAACCTTCGAAGCGAGCTTTTATAAATCTTTTAAACTTGAGGACGCTTTTTGGAAGTCCCCTCCCACTACACGAGCACTCATCCCTCAAACAAATAAAAACTTAAACTACCGAGAGCCGGATGTCTCAAAAGGAGACTTCCTTAACCGATTTTCAATCGGAATGATCACTCGGAGCCTATAACAGGTGTAGAAGTGTCTCTAGGTGTGAGAATGTGTGGAAAAGTGTGAGGACTAACGTCCTATTTATAGGCACACTCATCCAGGAGGTCGGGACGACCGTCCAAGATTTTGTCAGGTGAAACAGCCGTCAATGATTTGGGACGGCCGTCCCAGGCCACCAAAGAGGGTGGGACGATCATCTAGGATTTGGGACGACCGTCCCAGGCCACCAAGGAAGGTGAGATGGGCGTCTGGGATGTGGGACGGCCATCCCAGGTCTCCTGACAAAATTTTATTTTTTATTTTCTAAGAAAACCCTCCTTTTCTTAAATGGAATCTAGTGAACACTACTAGGGGCCTTATGAAGCCTTGTCCATCTTCAAAACGGAGGGTTTCTGAATTTTATTGTAAGGCCGGACAAGATTAAGGGTCTACAGCTGCCTCCCCTTCACCTGACTGATCGACTGTTGACGAATATGCCATAAGACCGATTAGTGGGTGAAGGAGTTAACCCTCTTACCAGGTCATCCTTCAGATGCTCCTTTGATGCGGTAGCTGACCTTCCGGATGATAAATGTGGATGTCTTCTTTTTCTTCAAGGTTGACCACAGGGTGTTCCCTTCGACCCTGTGGTAATGAGCACGAACCCCCATCTGGTTTGAGTCCCCTTTGTAAGACTTGTTGATGAGTACAAACCCCCACCTGGTTTGATGAGTACGAACCACCATCTAGTTTGAGTTCTCTTTTTGTAAGACTCGCCCATCGGATGTTCCCTCTGATCCTGTGGTTGATGAGTATAAACCCCCCATCTAGTCTGAGTCCCCCTTTTGTAAGACTTGCCCACCGGATGTTCCCTCTGATCCTGTGGTTGATGAGTACAAACCCCCATCTGGTTTGAGTTCCCCTTTTGTAAGACTTGCCCACCGGATGTTCCCTCCGATTCTGTGTTTGATGAGTACAAACCCCCATTTGTTTTGAGTCCCCCTTTTGTAAGACTCGCCCACCGGATGTTCCCTCCGATTCTATGGTTGATGAGTACAGACCCTTATCTGGTATGAGTCCCCTTTTTGTAAGATTCGTCCACCGGATGTTCCCTCTGATCCTGTGGTTGATGAGTACAAACTCTCATCTAGTATGAGTCCCCCTTTTGTAAGACTCGCCCACCGGATGTTCCCTCCGATCCTATGGTTGATGAGTACAGACCCTCATCTGGTCTAAGTCCCCCTTTTGTAAGACTCGCCCATCGGATGTTCCCTCCGATCTTATGGTTGATGAGTATAGACCTCATCTGGTCTGAGTCCCCTTTTGTAAGACTCGTTGTGTGATAGTAGCTTACTGATCTTGGTCACGCGCTGACTCCATGGGGAGTAATTTTGCTTGAAAATGTTTTTGATTTTTCTGTGTAGTCATCCGGTGTGCTGGAGATTCTTTGATTTTTGGCTTTTACAAGGGCATCCAACTTGTTGATTGTTGGGGATTCTTGATACTTTTTAGGTTTTTTCAATAGTCATCCAGCTTGTTGATTGCCGAGGATTTTTTATTTGATTTTTCTGGGCTTTTTTCAATAGTCATCCGACTTGTTTATCACTGGGGATTCTTTGATGTTGAGCTTTCGCAATAGCCATCCAGCTTGTTGGTCGCTAGGAATTCTTTGATTTTGGATTTTTTCTAATAACCATCCAGCTTGTTGATTGTCATGGATTTTTGATAATTGCCTCTGAGGTAAGCAGGAATCCATTGAGGATTTGTTGACTTTGATAATGATGCCTCTGATTAGGTAGATGCTTCATTGGAAGTGAAAACTTTTGGTTACACTGCTTTAACTCTGAACAGGCTGATATTCCCTTTTGGGGATACTGACTCTTGCTTGTCAGGTCTTGCCTATGCATAGGCAAACGACTCTCTGAGGATGTCAGTCTGAAGATTGCCTTTGCAATAAGCTCACTAGGGATACATTTTTCTTTTTGGTGATCTACCAGGGAAATAATTGGCTTCTTGGGCATCTAATTTTTTTATTGCCCTCTAGGGGATAGAGTCTTGGCTCTTTGATTGATGTTGATGGAAACTGGCTTTGTGAAGCTCTTATTTCACTAGGGGAATGGAATTTCCGATTCCTTGGGTTGGTTGCTTTATTCCTTTTTTCGATGTGACCCACTTTGGGATTTATTGGCCTTCTTTTATCATGACCTTTTTTCTTTTTTTTTGGGTATCCGTTGGGGATGAAGGATTTTTCTCCTTGATTGTTTGGTGATAGGCATTTGTGAAACATTTATTCTCCATTGGGGAACGTGGTGGAGACGAGTATGCTGGATGACTCATGTGGTGGTGGTGTTGAGCCTTAGGATAATATTTTTTTGTTTTGCCTCTAGAGTAGGCACAGATCCGCTTGGGGATGATTGAGCCTTTCCGTCAGCTTTTCTT